ACCGAATAAACGCATTTTGTTAATCGAAAGTGTTCTGGGGGTAGATTTTTATGTAGTATTTTGATAGTGTAACCTGCCGGTAGCATTTTCTGTGTTGTCGGCTTAATGACATACATACGTCAATTTAAATAGCCACTTGCTCAGCTAACTGTATGCTAGCTAGAAGCTAATGCTACGTTCCATGGCTATCGGAATTACTGAGGCAGAGTTGAGCCTGAGGGCACATTTTTGATGTTGTAGTTCACTTTCGCCTTTGGTTTGAATGTCATCGCATAGCCACCGTGCTCAAACGCGTTGAGAGAGAGAGAGAGATAAATACGTCGGTGTAAATCCCACCAGAAGGTATATGACGCAATAGGACGGACCACATCACTAGTGACCCTCGTATGATATTTACGGGGAGTACCTGAAGGCAGCAGATGTGTCCTGTCCCGCAAACTTAGCTAGCATTAGCCGGTAGGAGAACACCGCAGCATCAGCATCATTCACACGCACAATGAGATGAAACATTTACCCGCTTATTAGATTGTACGAGACGACGGTGAGGATTATCTCACAGACCAGAACAGTAAGTGTCATTTCTGTTGTTGGATGTGTGTCCTAGGAAATCTGAGGATTTTAATGTGACCTGAAAGCATGTGATGTTGATTCAGCAGGAGGGCAGAGGCACTCGGCCTACCCTAATCTGTGCCTCTACTGCATCCCATAAACGTACAGCATCTACCCGTATCATGTACAGTACATGAATGATCAGTCTCCTCTTTCAGCTCATACATAGTCACCAGTATGCTCTAACCTGTGATGCATTTAATAACAGAAAAACAAAACACAGGAACTTTGAATAGTAGTGAATGGCAAGTTCAGCCAAGCAAAGTCTTTTACAATAGACTTCATTTTTTTTCCTCAATGAAAATGTGTTTCTGAGGTATAACAACCAAACCATACTAAAGAAACAAACAATATTTGTCTCAGTGGTTGGCCATATTTATTATTTTATGCAGTGGTGCACAGTTTCACAACTGGTCCATTCCTTTTATCCAGCAATTTATTATCTGGGCTATAAAACGGTTGCTCAGACGCTATTGGCCCACTCTACTTACCTCACAAATAGTCCAAAACCTAAAAGTATTCAGTTTTGGAAGATCTACACAACACCCGCTGTCTTAAAAAGGCCCAAAACATCATAAAAGATAACTCACATCCTGGTTACTCCCTGTTTGACCTGTTGCCCTTAGACAGAC